AAATGTAAACGAGTTATAGAAGAAGAGAAAAGAGAAGATTTTTAACGGTTTTTTCGATATATCTCGAAAAGTAACAAAGCAATCGATACTTACAAAAAATCAGTCGATAGATCTTTTTAAAACGTACAACTTTCTCATTTAAAAATTTTCAATGGGTGCTATATTTTTTTAGTTATTTTAGAAAAACCGTTTTTTGCAACTTTGCGATTTTTTTCACCATGTTGGATCGAGTTTAAAGAACAAGAAACTCAATTTAAAATTAGATTTTCTATACGGTCATATTTTTTTTGTCCAGGTAATAATTTCTGTAAGCATTTCTCTATAATGCTTGGATTATATAGCAAACCAGGAAAATTAAAAATATACTAGTAAAATATGATTCTATAAGTATTACAATCATGCCAAATTTCGTTTGCTTATATTCAACGGTTTTGGAGAAAAATTTAAAACCAGTTTACACCGACCCCTTTAGTGTAACTTTTTAAAATTTTCCAAGTAATGCTGATTTTTTTGTACACACTAATGAAACACCCTGTATAAAAAGAATTGGGTAAGGAATGTACAAAAATAATTTTTTAAGAGTTCAGATCAGTTTTACTAAATTTTCAGAGATTAAAGAGTTCTAAAATTCAATATCTAACTGAAATGTATCATAACATACTCTCCTTACGCAAAAAAATGAGGACAAATTTAGTACAAACTATTTTAAACTGAAAAATAGAAAGAATCTTTTAATAAATGTCTATATTTAATGTAAAAACCGATATAGAAAAAAAGAAATTTTAACCTTGTTAAGTCTTTATAAATAATCTGTATTATAAACTCGTGAAATTTGTCATCCTAGGGTTTAGTTATATTAATTATAGTTACGTAGCAAGATTTTTAATATAAAATCTCCAAAGTGATTTTTCGAAAACGTTTTCCATAATTTTCATATGTAACATCATTTTATGCAGTTTTTTACAAAAATGGAAAAATTGCGTATATACAAAATCTTGTGATTATTTTTGTAACTAACTCGATTAACAAAAACAAATTTGTCGACAATCAATCAATATACAAGTTTTGGAACGGTATTGTATAAAATCGTTATGAAAATTGTTTACCCGCTTACAATAAATATTTAACTTCAAGGCAATCGATATAAAATTTTAAATAAACTCTATTTAAAGTACCAACTTATGCAGTAATACGATAGCTGTAATTGCGTGATATATAAAATTATTTCGTTGTATTGAACTTAGATGTTTATCCAACATGTTTGTTTTACGAATACAAATAGTTGAAAATCATAAATCATTCAGGATTGTTATTGAATTTAAAAACGCATGTGAAACGTTACCTTCGTTTCACAGACAATACGTATTACAAGCTGCTCGAAACAAGTTCATGAAAGTATCACTAAATTATCCGCAATGAAGTACATTACCAAAATTAAAGTGTTGCCCAAACATCAAAAAGGAAAAGAATACGTTCCCCAAACTTTTTATCAGTCTTGCAAGGATTTGCTGACCTTCGCCCAATGTTTGGGATTATTTCCTTTGAGTGAAATACGACAGGCTGAACCAAAGAAGTTGAAATCCAAATGGCTGTCGTTTAGAGTGCTCTACAGCGTTGTGCTGTTTGTGTTAATCTTTCTTTGTTCGGCTACTTCGATTTACAAAGCTCTTAACCGCGACGCGGTGTTTTACAGCTTAGGTAAGTCAACAAATTTTATCTGCTGAATTAATTTAATACTTGATTATATTTTCGCTAAATCCTAAATTACCATCGATTAAACTTTTGGTTTTATCTTAAAATACTATTCCGCATAAGCAGCAGAATTACAAAACGGGTGTGCTTGCAAGCTTTTTTGTTTATATGTCTATCGGCAAATCGTCGAAATTATCTATTTTTTCCACAGAAATGTAAATTTATTAATACTGAAATAATAAATACTGCATATATGCATATTTATGGAGAATAGGCAACTTACATGTTTGATTTCTTTTAAAGCTGCATAAATTTGTAGTCAACAATTAACCGTAGCAAATAAAATCAGTGCCACTAATGCTGCAAANGTTGTATAATTATTAAATATTTTTGTAAATAAATTAAATTCTTAAACTTATTTTACACCAAAATTAATTAATTAATGAAATGATGATGTAATTATTAAAAAGCCTGCAACAAGTACGTCAGTATGATTAATGAAGCAAAAAAAATAAGGTATTACAGGAAATATACTGTAATATTATTAATGATTAAAATGACGATAAATGCAAAAAAATGTATCTTGCTTCTAAGGCGAAAATGACTATAATATTCGTGATTAGCTACCCCAGATTAAGTACAAAAGAATTTTTGTACGTGGTCCAGAAGCCGAGAGAACAAAGATTTTACAAGTGCGAGCCATTTAAACTGCACGTCATCAGTTTTCAGAGAGAGCGCGCGCCGCTTCCCCCTACTTCTCAGTCCGGTCCAGCTGACGCACTCAGTGCTTGCATGCTTCAGTTTATTACTCAATTACTAATACTAAAAATCAAGTAAACATATCCTACTATTTTTTTTTAAATATAAGTATTCAATATTAACCTCCATCAGGCGCATCGCTGTAAAATGTTAATTGCGCCCTCAATTTTTTTTTTAAATAAAAAAATTATCTCGGCTCCAGAAGGTCGTAGAAAAACATTTTTTTTTTAAATTCGTGAAAAAATGTCAGCAATTTCTTTCTTTAAAAGTCATTTTCATAAAATAAAAATTGTAATAGTTATTTGAAAAAAAATACCCAAGAAAAGTGCAACTTTTTCAGACATTTTTTGATCCTTAAAATTAATAAAATCGTCAACATTTTTTAACAGCATGATAATATAACTCTTTAAGAAGAAAATAAACCGAAAATCGTCACTGTAGGGCTATCCGCTGAGAAGATCTAGCCAATTTTCGAGAGCGCCTTTTTTTCAAAAAATCCATATATCGAAAAATAATTAATATTTTTGAATGTTTCAAAAATGTACTATTTTGGGCTATACTTGCAGTAAATAGCAAGTATGGGAACGTAGATGTAAACGAGTTATAGAAGAAGAGAAAAGAGAAGATTTCTAACGTTTTTTCCGATATATCTCGAAAAGTAACAAAGCAATCGATACTTACAAAAAATCAGTCGATAGATCTTTTTAAAACGTACAACTTTCTCATTTAAAATTTTTCAATGGGTGCTATATTTTTTTAGTTATTTTAGAAAAACCGTTTTTTGCAACTTTGCGATTTTTTTCACCATGTTGGATCGAGTTTAAAGAACAAGAAACTCAATTTAAAATTTGATTTTCTATACGGTCATATTTTTTTTGTCCAGGTAATAATTTCTGTAAGCATTTCTCTATAATGCTTGGACTATGTCGTCGATTTATTTCGCCAAAGAGATAAAAATTATTTTCATAAATCTAAGTCGGCATCACTAAAATCTGTGGGTTTTAATACCCCTTTGTTTTATGCATATTTTGTTTGCGCCTTTCCAAAATGATCCCACAATTATTTTAATTTGCAAACTGCTAAATGTTTGCATCAACAGGATGTTTTTGTAAATCAAAACATCATACCAATTCGTAATTGACGCAAAACTGTCGACAATTCTTAAATTTTACAGATATGTGTGAATGATGAGTATCCGATTACCATGAAATTTAGAAAATTTCTACTTTACTGATACCTAATAACAGATTAAATCTTGAACAAACATTATCAAGGAAAGTGACAATAACTCAATTTTATCAACCGTTAAGTAAATCAATCTTATTAAGATTTTTCCTATTACAATTCCAAATCTGTTACCTATTGTTTAACAACCGAAAAATTAGTCAAAGGAATACGTTAGACATGTATCATTAATTCACTTTAAGTCGAGAAAGGAAACGATAGAATAGTAGTTAATATTATTTAAATTACGGTTACGTGTGGGTATGTGGCTCCCACTGATGTCAAAAACACCAAATAAATAACCGACATTGTTAAAGGACTAGATATACATTCAAATATACAAGGTGGAAATAAATAAATGTGAAAAAATTAAGTTGATCCTCGCTGATAATTAACAAGACGTCTTTCATGTAACAAAATTAACAGGGACATAAAAAATAATCATTCAAAGAAATATCCTGCATTCTTGCTATCCTATTATCACCCTTGACAAAAACTAACAAAACAAAACACGTGAGAAACGGTTACTACAAAGAGATCTTTTTATTTCCACATTTTAGGATTGTTTCATCACTGGTAGGCCCTTTAATTTTTTCACGTTATTTATTTACACTCTATAGATGTACAACTTTTTCCATTTTGCCATAATATGCTCTGAGAATTTGAGACCGAGACAAATAAACGATAACCTATTTTAAACACGAAAAATCTTGAAAATTATCTGGGCCTCCGTTAAACTATAATAAACCGCCATGAAGATTCAAGCCTATCCACAATATTGCGATTAATTACAGAATAATGCAAATAAAAAAAAAACATGCCGATATGTGTGCAGTTGAAAGCTATGGAACGCAGTTTAATGTGCTGTGGTGAATATTGAAATAATTATATACTCTTTGGGTTCCTACATGGCCATATTTTATTCCCAATAGCGGTGGCGTGCGAGTGGTTTGGTTATAATAGGATGTTCGTCACATTTTCAGATATTGCCATAAAATAAAATAATGTGGCGAAAGGCTTGACCCGTATTTTTTTAATGTTGCAAGATATCGTTATTCAAGTGGTAATTAAAAAAAAATGTAAGAGTGAAACAAATTTGGCGGTCACTAAAACCTCATACCACTGTCTCTTTTTATGTATTAATGTAGAGACATAGAATAGTTACTTTAATAAGAAGTTTTCGATAATGTATGGCTATAGTTTAGCACGTCATAAGTCAATAACAATGGCGTACGATTCGAATAAGAATCTTTAAAATCAAATAGAAATTTACTTTCATTGTAAAACAGTAAGTATAATAGGGTGGACCAAAAAACAACAATATTTTTTTTCCGTGTCTCTTGTGAAAATATGTTAGTTTGTCATGTCAAAAAAAAATTTTTAGTGGTCGCTCAAGATTTTTAAAAATTTCCAAAATCGTCAAAAATATATTTTTTTTCGTTATTTTATCATTTTCTAGGTTGAAAAAAATCTCGATTCTGAAAATTTCAAATCGATATTTTAATTTCTAAAGGTCTCTCATAATTATTTTAACTTTCAAAGTAGTGTACCTATGTTTTCGAG